TTTTGGTCCAGTATCAGTCTTTTCAAACTACTATTGAAATCACCCAGCACGTGGGAAAGAGAGCTTTATTGACAAAAAAAGAAAATTGAGAATGCATAAAGCTAATCCCTATCCATCTCAGCAACTTTAAACTCCATGCTTTTATGTTAAATAATAAGAAACGCTATGCAAAACACTTCTCTTTGGCCTCAGTTTGCCTGCCTAAATCTTTTGAAAAATAAACAGCACTCCGATGGACCATTACTACAAATGTTAAGGTGCCACATTGTGTTCATATCTTAATACTTATTTTTTTATTTCCCACAAAATTCCCCTGCATCCTATAGTTCATTGTTGCCCTCCACATTTTGGCTAAGGATATAGGTCTGCCAATAAAAGAAGAAAAAACTCTGTGCCCTACTACTTGTACTACTCTAACTTTTCTTGGTCTTGAGTTAGACGCTGTGTGCTTTGAAGTTAGGTTACCCAATGTAATCTCATTCATCTTAAATCAGGGATCCTAAAATTCCCAAACAAACGTTCTGTTAACAGTGTGAGTGCGTGGGTTATCTAAAAATTTTACGTTTAATAAGTCTCAAAGGATTACTATTTTGTTGTATATATCAGTAAGTTTTTCAGTGGATCACATTTAGTTTTTACAAAAGGATTGACCAGAATTCGGAGGCCAATACAAACAAATGTAAATATTACTTCTATTCATATGCATTCAGTGTTCAAGTTAGCGCGTCCTAATGCTCGAAGTTAATCGGATAATAAATTAGAGTACCGCCCTAATATGAGTTACGATTTTTCAAAATTTGTAGAAAAACCCTTAATTGAAATAGTTCTCATCAATTTTTGCATCTAAATGTGTTCAGTAAAACACAATTTGTGACAATCAATGACAAATGATATTAAATTTTTAATTTTGTCTCTTAAAACCTTTACTTCATATTTTTATATAAAAATTTTCTAAAGTTAGGACTGTGTTATTTGTAGGCCGAGGGTTTGTTTCAATATCACCAGACAACAGTAATAATATACTTGTAAGTTGAAAAAAAAAATTGACGTGGTGAAAATATACTGCGTATTTCATAAAAACTTTGAATTTTTCTTTACCAAATTGATATACCTCCAACAATAACCAAACTAAATGTATAAATTAAAAAAAAAAAAACCCAAAAAGTCATGGATTTGAATGCGCATCTATTTCGGATAAAAAATTCCAGTTGAGGTCGATATTAATATGATGGTAATAACTAATGTTTTGGGTTGGTAAGAAAAGGAAAACAAACTAATTTCCAGAATTTGAGCCCCCCCCCCCCCTAGGAAAAAAAAAATTTAAAATCATGCTATTTTGGGTAAAAGGGGGGCGGGTTCCCCCAAATTTGTTAAATTATTAAATGTATACATTTGTATTGAAGAAAAAAAAATGCAATATAAAATACAATTTTATTCGGTATTTTTTTTTCACGTACTTCAATAAACATCCCTCACTTCATATCCTTTATGAACAGATTTTTAGAAGGACGTTTTATGACCAGAGGTCACGACATTTGATTCGCCTCCGCAGTTGGTTTTCTATGGATCACAGGGAAAAGACCAGATAACAACAAATTAGTGATTTACAGTCATCACCTTAGTTAGGCATATTCATACTTATCTAATTTTTGGTTCTTGGGTGTGGAGTATGGCATGTTGTTAAATGTTGTCTACAGATCTGGGGCCCCCTTCTCGACTTTTAATGTCACAACTATTTTTCGAATTTATTTGAATACCGTCTACATTTGTAATATACATGGGTAAAGATAACGAACAGTGATCAGCCGTTTAAAAAAAACACAAATCCTTGAACATTGATCTCCCATTATTATTATTTTTAAAATTCAGTTTGGTGTATTATTTTATATCGCACCCATTCAGCGAAGGTATAATAATTAAATTACAATTTAGCTACATACAACCTTTGCAAGGAAACGTTCAACCCTTGGTTTATATTTGTTGGCAAGACCAAATTTAAGCTATTGTTACCTTTATTCCATATTTTAAAAAATTGCAGCTAATACTTTCATTAAAAATTTTAAATTTCATTTCTTTCCTTTTTAGCTGAGAACAATGCTGGACACCGGAAAAAAATGAACAAGCTTTCAAAAATTTGTTCCCCCCTTAGGGAAAAAATAAAACCCTGGCAGCAAGGGGAAGGGGGGGGGGGGGGGCGGATACCCCTGGCTGAATTTGTAGAATTATTAAATAAGTACATGTATATACTTATGCAAATAAAATATGCCAATATGGATATAAAGATTTGATTGCTTATTCTTTATTATGTGTATAGAAGATTCCTTTTATATGAAATATTTATCACACTGTAATGACGATTTTGTACATGCCAGACCTCATATTTTTTTCATTTTGGCATGCTGAATACTATCATTTAGTAAAAAGATATTTCGGGAAAAAAGAGAAATGGATTTTGGGATTCGAACCCGGGACCTCTCACACGTTAAGCGAGATGCATACCACTACACCACGGATTCGCTTTAAACTGGCGAAAATTATATGCAAAGATTAAGTCCCATACATGTATATATATTCGCATTCGATATTGTCAAAATTTTACAAAATGCATGGTGTCCAAATAAACCTTTATTAAACAGTTGTAATTGACGTGATAAAAATATGAAGTCCTCCTCATGCCCCTGTGCTACATGTAATACAATAAATACTAATAAAACAAACGGGACGGGACACTTTTAGATGGGGTGATAGAGGTCCTGGAGAGTTTTGGTATAAAATTACATTGCAAAAGCTCAAAATCATCTTGAAATATCGTCCGAAAAGGATAGCGTTACACACAGTCAGAATGTATAAATTTACAACCTTGAACTTTGACCTTTTGACCTCAAAATAAATAGAGGTCTTCCTTTGGCCACAGGACGTTATGTAAAATTTCATTGCAAAAGCTCAAAGGGTTCTTGAGATATCGCGCGGAAACGAAAGTGCTATAACAGACAGAATTTGCGATTTACTTGCTGCACAACAAAGAAGACCACGGACTCAAGTTGATGCCCTGCATGAGACTTATTCTAAAGACGTGATATACTTGCAGCATATCAGAGAAAGCATCAAGACTCGAGTTGATGGCCCGCATGGGACTCATTCTAAAGAAATGATATACTTTCATCATAAAAAAAGATAGTATTGACCGAGATTAGCTTTGATTGTCTGTCTGGGACTCATTCTGAAAACGTGATATACTGTATACAGGGAAAATGTCGCCCCCGTTTTATTTTCACCCTTTTCTCCTACCCTTATTTGGGTGAATTTAAACGAGGCGAATTCAGAGAATACTGAGTATTTTTTTAAATAAACCTATTTCTGGGCGAATAAAAAACAGGGCAAAATGAGTGAGGGGGGTGAGTGGGTTGACGATGTTTTTTTTTATTGAAATGATCACTTTTATGCAAATTATCCGTAGATTTAAAAATATTCATGCTTTTTTGAATTCCTTTTATGAATATAAAATTAAACAATATTGCATGGTAAAATACAATGTTTTATTTGTGATCTCCTTAGAAATTGGTTTAAAAAATAAGGATGTTTTAAGTTCTGTCTGTAAATGCCCTTAGTGCAACATAAACATAGGCAATAAGATATTACAAAGCTAACCTAAGCGATTGATTTGTTTGGGTAAGGCACACCCTCACGTGAAACTTATAAGCTAGCAGTGTACATCCAAAGCAGCATTTTTAACTCTCTGGTCCGACATTAAAGAAAATTCAAAACTTCTTAGAAGGGATTCCTAGACATGACAACAGCTTCTTCTGCATATAAAAAACTGTTAGAGGTTTGCTTTTAACAACCAAGATATTTTAAAAATATATTGCAGTCTTCGCCAAATCTTTTTTTCAGCACATGCCCTTCGGGCAGGTGTGATCACCAATTACGCAAGCCCGAACAAATATTTACGTGCCCAGAATTTTATCAAGTTATTCTATTCTTATTTGCCTTTTCATGCCAAGGAAAAAATCTGAAAATCCATTCTGTCAATATTTTGTCTCGCCATTTGTTTTCATCCTGTACACTTTTTGTGTCTCTTGTGCAGAAGAGTTCCTTGGAAATCGCGGTAAAATAAGATGTCGGTAAAATTTTATTTTTTTTACTTCACTTAGATGGAAAATCAAAGACTTTAAAGTACATTTTATGTTATTGGTCTTATTTAATTTAATTATACCAAGGCTTATGACTTAGAATTAACATGCTCTTTGGGCTTGTAAGTGTACAATTTCCACATGCCCGCTTCCAATTTTACCAGGTCTCGGGCATCGGACTCCCAGGATTTGTCGAAGACTGATATTGAACGTTCAATCTTCAACATTTTTTGAGTCATTAGCTAAGGATTTACAAAAATCGTGAATAAAAACAATCTCATATTTCAAAAGTCATAAGATCTCAATTTTATTCAGTAGAAACATTCATTTAATAATATATATCTAAAACATTTTAAAAGAATCGTTGCTTGCCTTGTCCTGACTGACTGACTAAAAATGGCCCAACTCAAAACTTCTTTAACATTCATTTCTTTTTATTCCGTCAACAAACACGTTGAAAGTTTTCCGGAGAAAGATTGTCCCTCCCACCTACTTACCGACCCTTTTTTTTAACATGAGTCGGGAAATGGCAAGCCAACATAATTCAGAAGATGACCTTATTTATTCCAAGAGCATATTATGATTGAATGTCTTTAGCTGTACATATATACATGTATTGTCTCACCCTAACAAACATTGGAGCACCTTAAGGAAGACCTTTAATTAAGTAGATATTAATTTTTTGATCTTGACTTTAGTGTTTGAACCATTTATAAAAACTTTCAAACTTTATTGGCCATTTAGTGAGAACAAAGGCTTTCATATTTCACTGATATATTTTTTGTGACACTAACAATTCTGACCTTTTGATACTGACATATGGAGTTTTGCCATGTATTTTAGAAATTTAACCCTTGCAATAAGCTGGCATATGACGGCATCAATGTTTCAAAACACGTTTAAATTTCATCAAGTTCTACATAGTGTTGCTCTTGCGAAACTGGTTCTAAATAGGCTGAATCAATTGTACGAATAGATTGGTAAGGATTCGGGTTGTCCAAAATTCCAAGTTCTGTATAGGTAAAATTAGTCCTAAAATAGAAACGGAAAATTATAAACTAAGGCAAGTGTACTTTAAAAAAATCATCGCATACAAAGCAATATTAAGAGTGCGCTTGATTTTTCTACATCATACTACATTCAGTGTAAACGATTTACACCATAAAATAAGGTGAAATTTGGTGTAGTGTAGCATATTCAATATGAAGTCAAAATTTTAATCACCGGATCATGAGGGGATCGTATTTGCAGAAGATTTTCATCAAGATTTTGTTGCAATTGTGAACATTTTTTCAAAACCATAAAAAACCAAACGTTTTACGAAAAGGCAAAGAATTGTTAATAACACATATTCATAGCCATCCATAAAACCTTTGTAACTAAATATCTACCATAGTCTAAAATATATTTACTTCTTTACGCTTTTACTTCGGTACTCTATGTGAACTTTCGTATTTAAACAAACTAGTAACTGTTTTTCATGCATGAGCGCTTTAGCGCTCACTATAAATAAATTTACAGGGAAAATTCGATTAATGCGGCCCCATGGGGATCCGGGTGAGAATAGGTCCTCAGTACTCCCTTGCTTGTCGTAAAAGGCGACTAAATGGGGCGTCCTTCGGATGAGACCGTATAAACCGAGGCCCCGTGTCACAACAGGTGTGGCACGATAAAGATCCCTCTCTGCTCAAAAGTCCTGAGTGCCGAGCATAGGCCTAAATTTGCAGCCCTTCACCGGCAATGGTGACGTCTCCATATCAGTGAAATATTCTGGAGAGGGACGTTAAACAGTATACAATCAATCAATCAATCGATTAATGCGACGTTCGTTAGAAAGAATTGCACATTGTTTTATGTCTCTGGCTTTCCCTGCCCACCCAGCCCTTGCATTGTAAAATTTACGGCATGCATTTGAATTGTATTTATTTATTTGAATAAAATGAGATTTGTAACGAAAGCAACAATTCTACAGCATATTCTTTTTTAAAAATAAATTATTCAAGAATATATTTTTTTCCGTCGGAGTGAAACGAGGGAGAAAATAAGTAGTAACATTATATCCAAAACTTGCCCAACTTGCTTATTTTTATTTACAAAATACCAAGTGTTTTATTTTTCAATAGTCCACTTAATTTAATACTAAATACAATTCATCACAATCATCGTATCAAATACTTGAAAGTAAACTAAAAAAGAGAAAAATAATTATGCAGTTTTACCGTCTTGACATTTGTCAGCCATGTTGAATTTGTAATTACCTACACCTGCCAAGTGTACACTTTTGCACTTAATTATGGAAAAGTGTACATCGGGTGTAAATTGTAGGCAAATCAAGCGTGCCCTAAAATAGAACAATTCAACATACCGTTCTTTTCTACCGGAGGTATCTGAAAAATGAATTTTATATCTTGTTATAATTTAATTACAACAATTGTTTATCCAGGACTTGCATAAATATTTCATGTGAAGGTATATAGAATAACCACAACACAAAAAGCACCATCTTCTCATTAAATACATCAGGCAGATATGGGTTTCCGTAATGAAGGATAAGAAAACGTAGAGAGCTAAGCATTAAAAATAAACAAGTGGCCTACGGTCCTTACAGGTCAACTGAGTACATGTATCATGTTACAACTTTCCAACAATTGAATAGTTTCATGTTTTAAACAAAAGGCTATGAAATTCACAATTCTGAAAGAGGCATCATTGCTTATCATAACTAAACACTTGCATGTATGTTGCTTACTTTGGTTACTTAATAAGAACACAAAGAGAAAATGCAGTTCCACTTAATTACCAGTGGTGCATCCCACCACACAAAAAACCACTGACCATCGGGCCACATATTTCAAAAATTTAAATTTTATCATTAATTTTATTTCGTCATAAATGAATGATTAATACCAAAGAGCATATTTCAAAGCATTAATTCATTTTCAAACTATGTAACCACCACCCCAACCCCACCCCAAGTACCCCTGAGCAAGGGGCCCTGAAATAAATCATTTTGGAAGAGGCACCTTTAATCATCATTAATATGTATTTAGATCATTGGCATAATGCCCAGGTACAACGGAAAAAGAGTTTCAAAGAATTCATGCTTTTTCACTATATACATGTACATTGTACGTGTAACCATCAGAGCGCCATGCACCCTAACACCAAAACCTCTGACCCAGGGCCAATGAAATTCCCAATCTGGAAGAGACATCCGTCCTCATCATAACTATGTTCATAGTTAACTGTTTTAATACACATGAGACAATTTTTAAACAATTCATGTATTCTCACTGTATAATCAATAGAGCCCAACCCTAATACCAGAACCCCAGGCACCGGGGCCATGAAATTCATAATTTTGGCAGAGGCATCCTTATTGAACATAACTATGTACTTGTTTAGTTTATTTAATACCTAGGAGCAGAGAAGAATTAATGTATTGCCACTACAAAATAATCAAAAGCCCCACTTTAACTCAAGAATCCCCGACCCAATCAACCTACCTTTAACACCAACAGCTGAAGGCAAGCTTGGTCTGAAAAAGATGTATGACCATAATATGTGTTAAGTAAATAGAATCAACTTAAATTTTCCCCGGGAATAATGAATGTGATTTAACTTATGGAAAACTTACCCTTCTTTATCCTTATTTTCAGATGCTGCAATTTAAAAAAAATGTTTATTAGGCTAGTAAAAATTTTTATTCAGCAGAAGATGCAGCAGACAAAATAAAGTACATAAACCCCTAATGTATTGAATGATTGAAGGACTCTCTTAGTCTATTTCAACAGCTTGAATTTCACGTTTTGTCAGTGTGTATCTGTATATTTAAAATTCAGCATTGTGCAGTTAAAATAAGAATTTAAAGGAAAAAATTACGGGACCGAGCGAAACTATTAGTGCGCAATCACTATACATAAATATATACTCACAGTCAATAGAAACGCAACACCCTAATTTTAGGGTGAAAATTATATACGGGTTATAACTATGTACCAAGAAGTTAGGACATCTTTTACTTTGCCTGATCAGTTATTTAACGGTTGAATGAATTTCTTTCCATTACCGGAAGTTGCTTTTTAGCGCTCTTAACAGGAATCAAAATTTTGCATTTTTGATAAAAATTTTTAACAATATTTTGGGTATTATAAGTATTGTACTAAAATCCCGGGGGGAAATCCTTCTTTCTTTACCGGATGTGATGCCTATATTTCCTCAAAATGACTGATTTTCATTTCTATTGCTGAAAATTCTCAAAATAAAGAAAAAAATGCTGCAGGTGCAAATGGAGACGATTTGATAAATCATGAATAAACCTCTAACGGAAGTTGTTGTCATGTTCTTATCATGTTTTAAACTATCAGCTGACAGCATATATACTGTGTATGACTGCCTCTTGCTTAAAATATTCATCAGCAATTATTAGATATCTCTTCATCTCTTAATCAGTAATTTAAGTTTTCCAATTAATTATAAACTGTTTAGCAGATTCCATTTAATACGCCTAAATGTTACTTGCCTTTTTTCCGCTTGCATATGAGGTATATTGTGATGCTTGCGATGGGAAGTGAGAAAGCAGAGACACCGACAACTACAATTAGAATTGTGTTGTTATTGTCCGTCACCCGAGCATCTGTTTCCATTTTATCTGAAATAAAACGTACAACTCTGTGAGCTTTACAACACTATTTGCAATTAACTTATTGTACAAACTTCATAAAACATAGAAATAAAATCTGATATAACTGAATTTTGTGTTCAGATTATTTATTTTTATTTAAAAAAAAAATTTATTTAAATGCCTAGAGAATTTATAGTAAGTTTGTTCAAGTAAGTACGCATCCTTTATAAAAGATGAGTTTCAATTTGTGTAGTACAATTTTAAAACATAAATAAGATTGCATGAAATTTCTAAAACCTTACTTCCATTTCACTATAATTAAGTGTTATGTTTGTAAACTTTGGCTGAAATCCCATTTACGTGGTCGGAATGGCATTTTCCCTTGAGTATATCGTACGAAAATCCGTTAAACAATTATTTGTCACAATGTTCATCGTATCGACCAATTTTGTATCCGCTGGAATAGGATCTGAAGTTCTTATTACACGGGCCTGTAGATGTACTACAATTCAATTCACACTTTGAACCGTATATCCCTTATCACAGGCACGGCAATATCCTGTATCTTTCTCGCATGTGTTATTAAAACAGCCTGAGCTGATTTATTCTGTACAAGAACAACATTTATCGTTTTCTTGTCAACATAAATTTGATGGATAATTTGTATGCCCTCCTTAAGAGAAGGGAGCGCATATTATCATGCTAGTGTCTGTCGGTTTACCAAGTTTCGATTCATTTTCTTCGCAGTGATTGCACTTAATGCAATGAAATTTGAAATACAGATTTTGTTCTAACTTCTGATTCGAGTACGATAGAACCATATTTAACAGAGTTATGATTCCAGTTATATGCAGTTCCCATTCATTTTTTTTCACGCACAGGTTAGACTAACTTAAATGAACAGTATACATAATTTTGTGAACAGAATTTTCATCGGAATATCTAGTTCCACAAGTTCTCATAGTAACAATCGAGCAATCTTGGATAGAGTTAGATGTATGCCCTTGGACTCGGAAAAAATTTCAATTACTTACGGGGAGGGGGAGAAGAGTTTCACAAAAAAACTATTGTTATTATATACCATTATGAAATTCAAACCATAAAATCCTCTTTACATTCCAAACATTTTCCAGAGTTCGGTTACACATCTGAGTATTTTGACATTTTCGACCATAGTATTAACCATTAATGCAACTGAATCACAAGTCTGGCAAAATTAGTTACGAAATATTCCATTCAATCCAAACTGAGAGTCTTGCGTGCACACTACTATGTTCGATCGCGTGATTTAAAAAAACAACCATCAGAACAATTTCTTTCCCAAACCAGAAGTCTCTGTCGAGACTGAAGCTCTACTGGTTTGTACCTATAGCAAAGGAAGAGAAAAGTTCTTAAGAAGTTGGAAATTGAAACTTTACCACAGCAATAAAAAAAATAATGATCCTTGATTAAGTCTCTTTATGTTCTTAGTATAGTCTACTTGCATGCCACATTATATTATAATCAGACTTAAACTGCAGGAGGAGTAGCATTTTGAGATTTTTTAACAAAAATTTCTATTTTTAGTTACCATGGCAACACCGTTCATCGAAATCAAAAACCAATACACAGAATAACGTATCTTAGTGTAGTCTACTTGTGTGCCAAGTTATATGGAAATCAGACCAAAACTGTAGGAGGAGTAGCATTTTGAAAGAATTTCACAGAAATTTCTATATTTAGTAACAAGGCAACACCGTTCATCGAAATCAAAAACTGATAAACAGAATTATGTATCTTAGTACAGTCTACTTGTATGCCAAGTTATATTGAAATCAGACCAAAACTGTAGGAGGAGTAGCATTTTGAAAGAATTTCATAGAAATTTCTATTTTTAGTAACAACGGCAACACCGTTAATCGAAATCAAAAATCGATACACAGAATTATGTATCTTAGGGTAGTCTACTTGTGTGCTAAGTTATATTGAAATCAGACCAAAAATGTAGAAGGAGTAGCATTTTGAAAGAATTTCACAGAAAATTCTATTTTAAGTAACCACGGCAACACCGTTCATCGAAATCAAAAACTGATATACAGAATTATGTTTCTTGGTGTAGACTACTTGTGTGCCAAGTTATATTGAAATCAGACCAAAACTGTAGAAGTAGCATTTTGAAAGAATTTCACAAAAAATTCTATTTTTAGTAACAACGGCAACACCGTTAATCAAAATCAAAAACCGATGTATCTTAGTGTAGTCTACTTGTGTGCCAAGTTATATTGAAATCAGACCAAAGAAGTAGTAGTAGGAGAAGTAGCATTTTGAAAGATTGTTTACAGACAGAGACAGACAGACAGACGGACGGACGACGGACGCATTACTATCGCATAAGCTCTTCTGTTCTCTGACCAGTAGAGCTAAAAATGCCAAATCTGCCGCCTGAGCACTTACCAGAGCAAAATCCAGAGATTTTATCACAGGTGCCAGTGCAGGAAGTATTGCAATTCTTCGAGCAGTAATCACCGAAGAACCCATCTTTGCAATCACCAACACACAATCCATCGACTCTAGCGCAGTATCCAGTCTTACAATTTGAATTACATGGATTTGTGCAAATGTCCCCAAAAAATCCAGGCTTGCATCCGGTTGAGCATACTCCGGTGTCTCGATTGCACTTTCCACCACATCCTGTACTGCAGTTCTTAGAACAAAAAGGTCCGTAAAATCCAGTAGGACAGTCGTTCGTGCAGTGGCCATCGTTCCGTTCACAGGTCTCAAGATAACAAGCAGAATTACATCTCTTGTCACATTTTTCTCCAAACCATCCAGCATCGCACGACCCGGTACAATTTCCTGACTGTCTTTCACACTGACACGCTCCGCACGGAGACTCACAACGATTGTCATAAAATCCGTTAACACATCCGGTTGTACACGTGGCGTTTACGTGGTAACAGCTTTGTCCTACACAGAAAGGACTACAGTAATTTTCACATCGTGTTCCCCAGTAAGCATGACGACATCCTCCAAAGCAGCTACCGGTGGTTCCGTCACATGAATTTACACAATTAACGCTACACTGGTAACAACTACCCCCTGCACTGTAATAATTGCTGTCACACCGATCACATTTTGCCCCAGTCCAACCAGTATTACAGCCGCTGGCACAAATTCCAATTGATCCATTACATGTTGATCCTGACGTCACCGCTCTACATCCCTGGCTACAGGGTTGACAAGTCGATGATACGGGGAAGTAACCACTGTTGCACTGTGAGCATGACGACACACCCGATGCCTCTATGCATGTTTGACAGTTTGTTATTCCACAGTTTCCTGTATTCGGTTAGAATTAATAGAAAAAAGAACTGAAATCATGATAAATATATAACATAGAAGTAAATTAAATGCTTCATTGATGATCTTTAGGCCACATTTACTTAAAAGATTTGCACTGAACTAAACAAGCCTTTTTCATATAGGATAAATGTCGTCAAACAATGACATAATAAGGCTACAGATGTATGAGACTGAAATTAATGTAATATGGCATGTCAAACATTGCAATATTCGATCTTTTCCATTTGTATTGTATAATTTTTATAAAAAAAATTCAATATGCATTGTTTAATTTTATTGGGCTAGTAATTTTGACATGGTGCAAGTAGCTAGCCCGTGCACGTGGGCTGGTACATTTTTATTTTATTTCACACCCCAGAGTTTAAAGGCAGTTTTCAAGAAAGATATTTTCTATCGCCCATATGACAAGCCCAGACACATGTAACGCACCACGAAATGGTCAAACTGTTTTGAAATTCAATCAATTAATGTGAAATCGTGTATTTAAAAAGCCTAATAAAAAAGAAATCATACCGACCCTATTTTATTTCAATATGCCACAAAAGTCAAACATTTTTTGTTCGGCTTATTAAA